ATATATATATATATATATGCAGCAAGATATACCACAATCACAAGACATTCAAGTTCAACATTAAAAAAAAAATTTAAAAAAAATTATGGCCTGTTTGGTTTATGAAAACATTTTATATTTTTTCCATTTGTGATTATTTGTGAAAATAGGAAATGAAAACAAAAAAAAAAAATTTCAAATTAAAAAGACTCCTAGCTCAAGAAGAAGTCATGTTTTCACAATCTTATGTTTGTTAACCAAACATAACGAAACAATTAGTAGAAAGTAGACGATGAAATATCATAAGCCTTAAGATGAGGTTAGCTTCTACCTTCAGCTGCTAGGTTGGCCACCACTTTCACAGCATGAATTCGTACATTGGCATCATCTGACTCCAGCAAAGACAAAATCTTTTGCAATCCAACTGTTGAAAAAAATAATGCAAGTCATACACAAGGACAATGTAAGATTTCAATTATAACTCAAACAACTGGTACCTTGCTCAAAGAGTGTAGCAACAGATGACTTCTGACCATTCCCAGTGTCCTTGAATTGGGAATGCCTAACTTGAGTCATGGAGGAATCAGTGGCAGAAAATGTGCTCCCAGAGCTTCCATTTTCCAAACACCTTCTCATCTATGGGGACATAACATTAATTCATACTGTATCAGAGATTCGAAGTTATGCTGAAAAGAAAATAATGCAAAAAGCAGCTAGAGGCTATTGAGACCAAAGAACCATAATTTCACAACTATTACTACCGATTTCAATGTGCTAGCCAAACTTTCTAATTTGATAAAACTTCCTTTTTAAGAACTTTACAATGCAAATGTGTCAGGAAAAGCAGAGAAACTAGCTTCTGGTTCTTCTGGTTCTAACAGCTAGCATATCATGCAGTTATTTGGTGTACTTAGTTGGAGAGAAGAGGCTCGTAATTTAATGAGTGTCTCTAAAGTCTAAACCATCACATTCGTTTAGAGTAGGATTATGTTATGACCTATATTTGGTGCTCTGCAAGTGCTTGTTTCAACTTTCTAGAATTTTCTACAGATGATACAAGAGCATTTTGTGTTTTATGGCCACTTTTCATTAAATCACTGCAAAGTCAATGACTCAATGTATGGAAAAAGAATCCAAGCTAAACACATTACCCAAGAACATGCAGAATGCTCAGTAACATAAAACAAATACCTGATCAGCTTCAAAATTCAATTGCAATAATTGACTTCGTAGTATTATTATTTCTTCTTCAAGTCTTTTTTTCTGATTAGCCTCATCCTCCAAGATGTTGCGAAGCTTTATAATCTCTACATCTTCTGCCTAGTAGACAAAAAGGTTTATCATATACCAGAATTCATTCTTGAAGAATGAATAGAAAAAAAATTCCGGTTATCTGAATTCTCACCTCTGCTTGCGTATGTTTCCCCAACTGACTTTTTAGACGTTCTACCTCTTCTTCAGCTGCCTTTCTCCGATTTCTTTCTGTTTCAAGCAGCATTTTGGCCTCAGCAACTTCATCTGCAGACGATGATGCAGGCCCCTGTGCCAAAAAAGCATAAAAAACTAAATCAGTAAAAAAAACAAAAAAAGAAAAGGTAAAAAATGTGAAAAGAAAATAATTCCACCAGCCAAATTGTTAAAACTTTTAACATTGGGACAGGTGAAGATTGATGTGTTAATCATAATATTTGTGTGTATAAATAAGTGTACAAATCATTTAGAAATGCACAAGAAATCATTCTTCCCATAATCCCATCCAAATCAAGTGCTGTGCCATAGAAACCTCTGAAAATTTCATCGTTCAATCCAAGCAAATTCACCATATGATAACATACATAACAATTAACCAAAAAAAAAAAATTGGTTCATTACCACTACCAAAACTATGAAAGCAAATAATCAATAATTGGTCCAGGAACCTACAACACACCCAACTACTAGCATTCGCCAAAAATGCCTAAAAAACAAAACAGTAAAACATGTCTAAAAAATAATCTCAGTTAATTTTTAAAAAAAAGTGGAAAAAGAATCCATCTCCAGATTGCAATAGAAGTTAATATTGTTTAAAAAAGGAATATACCTCTCCATTATCAGCCACAAAATTATTGCAGTCATGTCTTTCTTGATTCAACACCAACTTCTGCTCCAGCTCCTTAACCAATTCCATGTACTCCATCTGGCATTTTAGTCTCTCTTTCTACAGGGTACAATCATACAACTCCATGTAAGAAATTGAGCAAAGCTTACAAATGTTACCCCCAAAAAAAACATAAAAAGTTAGCATCTTAAGTGAACTAGGTTAAAAAAAAGTCACGACAGTACTCCTATACTTTAGACTCACGAAAAAGTAAAAAAATAAATAAACAAATAAATAAAGAGGATAGGAAGGTCGCACGTTAGATTCATCCTAAAATACTGTCTAGAAAACCTAAGAGATACAGATGTCAGAAACTTCATAAAAGTATTCAACCCGCACAAAAACCCACTTTATTCAGATAGATCACATTTTTATCCTCAAAACGCATAAGCTGGGACATTTTTTATTAGAAAATAACACTTCACAGAGTCCATACTTCCACAACAAGACATGAACCCTGCTTAATTAAGTCATACCCCAAATTTACAGGACTGTAGTTAGTTTCTGTTCGCAGCACTGGGGCTGGAACAACACCCAAATCAATTAGAAAAAATATAACGGTCCTGCATCAATTACAATAACAACAGTTTAAACCCTAGTCTATTAGCATAGAGCATTTTGCATAATAATTACAAAACATTTCAAAAAACCACAAGACTTTGGCTTAAAAAAGAATAAGTAGATCTTTTGTATAGATGATAGAACAAACCTCTAGTGCATCTGCAAAATTCCTCTCAACCTCAGCAATACGACATTGTGCCTCCAAATTTACTTTTTCAACTTCATCCTCAAAAGCTTTCTGCTGCCTCTCATTTTCAGCAATAAGCTTATCTAATTGTATCTCAAGCTTTCGAGATAAGCTTTTATAATCAAATTCCTCCTTTATTTTCAGCATATTCTCAACTTTCATCGCCTAATAATACAAAAATAGACATTAATCCATCTGTCACTAAAACAGCAAATCATATGAATTATCACCAAAGTTTTTTCATTTTAAATAATAATAAGAACATCAAATTAATGTATTTAATTTAATAACAACCTTTGATGCTAGATATCTCTAAAAATGGTATTTGAAAATACCCCCCAACACAGACATAAAAATACTTCAAATATAAAAATGTACAATGAAACAGGTCTTATGGCATATAAATTTAATAATTTTTAATTCATACTGTATGAATAGAATGATTAGAATCTATATATGGAAGTACAGATCTCAAATAGGAACCTGACCCTTTGGCCGAACAATATGGTACTAGAAGTCTCTCCTCGGTGACGTGGAGATGGGCCAATAGTCACAATCAATGAAGTCCTAGCTGTGCCTGCAAATGATCAGAAAGCAAATAGGAATAGAGTCCAAGAAGAATATTGGAATCTGATACAAAGACTGAGACAAAGATACTGTAAATATGCCAATCAAGGATTTACGAAACCAGTTTCATAAAACATAAATGACATCTCACTCAAATATTTGATCACATAAAGTTGAAGAACTGAAAAGGATACAGTGCTAAGATATCTGAAAAACAGATTAAGGCGTTTTACCTCCAAAAGAATCACGAAGCATCCTGGTGAGCTTTGAATCGCGAAATGGAACATGAGCATTGTTCTCTGCTAGAGCATTAATACATTTTCCCAGTGAACTAAGTGAAAGATTGATAGATTTAGCTTCCTCTAGCATGTGCCCTTCACTTCCTGGTGAGGAAAAAGAGGGGGAATGCAAAGTTTCAGCACATACCAACATAATAACAGAAGCTACCAAATCATTGAAGTTAACATAGAATGAACATACAAATTTCAAAGGCCACAAGAAACAAGGAACATTGGAGCATGTTTGGTTTGGGAAAATGTTTATTTATTTTTATTTTCTGTTTTCATTTTTAATTACAAAAAATGTCATCTTATTTTCATTGTTTCCTATTTTCAAAAGGTTGCATAGGAAAACAGTAAGAACAATAAAAGAGATATGTTCAATATTACATAAACAAATATTTGAAAACAGAAAAATAAACGAAAACATGGTGACACTTTTGCAATTAAAAGTGAAAACAAAAAACATTTTCTGTAAGTAAAAGACACTTCAAGGGTAATTGGTTTTCAACTTTTATTTTAAATTATGTTTTTACTAATAATTACAAAAGTGCCACATCATTATTAACATTTTTTCCTATTCTCAAGATTGTGATGGAAATAATGAAAACAACCCTTAACAAAATCTTGATAACAAGAAACAAAATAAAAAGTAAAAACATGGGCCATTTTCACTTTTTCCTCCACTAAAATCTTGAAAACAAAATAAAACAAAAATAGGGCAACACTTTTCTAATATATTTCTATTATATTTGAGGGGGCTGGCAAAATGTAATGTTTCCTTCTCAAAACTATCATATCATATCATATACTATTATATTACTAATATTATTACATTATATCAATATAAACATATGTGCTACAATGATATACTCATTTTTTATATTATAATTACATCATATATAGATATATTATTGGAAATCTCACATTGAGTGTTCATAAGGCCAAAGTAATATATAAATGAGGGGACAACTCTCACCTTACACGCCAATTTTGTAAAGTTGAGCTAAACACAAACCCACATTTTAAAATGATATCAAAATCTGTCCCAGCGATAGTTGTTAGACCTATCAGATTACCCGCAAATGTCTAATCTGGCAAACTTCACACTCAAGATGTTTATTCTTCAACTATGGGTGAGGGTTAAAGTTCCTACATCTACTAGTAATAGAACTAAAATAGTGTACATAGGTGGGGAAAAACAAACACCTTACAAGTCGATTTTGTGAGATTTAGTTGAACTCAAAGCCGCATTCTAAGCCATACATACAATAATACTATTTATATATATATATTATTGTAATTGTCATATAATAATATATGATTTTATATTAGTTAAAGTCTACGAAATAACAAATATTTAAATAACTAGAAGTAGAACAGTTTACATGTGCTATGCAAGGTTTAGTGAAAATAAAAATATAAAAATACAAAAAAGGAGAGTAAAAGAGAGAGGATGCAGGATACGTTATAAAAAACTGAAGCAGAAGTTTGTGCGCCCATGTAAAAATGCACACAGATTCAACATGTGGAAAGTGAATGGTGGCTGGAAAGTTTTTATTGTAATATATGATCATTAGGAAGAAAATTTTAGTAAGAGTTATATACCATGCTTCATTGTAGTTATTTTACTATATGTATAATTGAGGATTCATCAAACAAAACACTTTCTTGCCCATTTTTCCATCCCATATTTGTATGATTTTCCCATCCATTTTTCCTGCTTATTTCAATTATTTTTCTAGCCATTTTTTCTTGTTCATTTGATAAAAAATTTCACTCACATCATTTTTCCAGCTCCCCGACCCCACCCCAACCTAAGACCTGTTACATTTTTTCAACCAAATAATAGAATAAATTTATGATTGCATAATATTATAAATACATTCTAATTAATTTCTTTTTAGAATAAATTAAAATAAAATGTTTTATTTTATGACGTCATTTTATGTAATATTTTTTCTTCTAATTTTAAAATATGAATTGAATTGTGAGTGTATTTATTTTGTATAAATTACTCAAATAATAGAGTAATTATTTTATTTATTATGGCTGATCACATTTTATTCTTAATATGGAAGCATATGTTTGACCTTAATGCTTATCAATGAGGTGGGTATAAAAAGTTCCATGGACAATAAAAAAAAAAAAATTAAAAAATTCAAAGAATGTGATTGACATATTTTTGTGTTAATGGTGTTGTAATTAGTGTTTGGTAAGAATGTGATTGGCGTTGTTGGGGACGTTGGAACATCTGGGAGTACGGAATTGAAGAAAAACAGGAATGTCATGTTACAACTCACAGTGCCCCCCCTCCCCCCACCCCAAAAAGAATGTACTAGAACAAATGATAAATAGTAGGGAATTAAAATGTTCAATTCATGGAACATGGACCGTGTTTATTTTGCCGTTAGAAAAATATTTTCCAATACTTTTTAATTTTTAATAAAAAAACAATTATTTTTTAATATAAATTTGTAGCTAAAAGTAAATTTAAATATTTATTTAATCATTTTAAAATTAATTATATTTAAATTTAAAATAAATAAACCTGAATTGATCCGACAAATGTAATAATCTAAACCAAATTTATTGTTTTAGATTAATTTGGTTAATTTTACAATAAATTTGAAAAAAAATAATTTACAATTAGTTTTTTTTTTTCTTTTTTTTTGTGTGTGAACCATGGTATTCTCGACAGGAAGTGGATTGATCTTTTGAGGTATTACAATTACAACTTCATTATCATATTTCAAGTAAAAAAGATTAATAAGATATATTAAATTATAACTGTAAAAAAGTTATGAATCTTAAATAAGATCATAACGAAAAATATTTTATTAAGAGTTGTATGATTTATTGTAGTTATTTTACTATTATCTACATATTATAATTGAGGATTCATCAAACAAAACACTTTCTCGCCCATTTTTCCAACCCAATTGTATGATTTTCCCATCCACTTTTCCTTCTTGTTCAATTATTTTTCTAGGCCATGTTTTCTTGTTCATTTGATGGAAATTTTTCACCCATTTTCATCATTTTTCCAGGCATTTTTTTCCCACCTAACACTTATTTACATTTTTTTCCACTAACTTGAATTATTCTCTCCTGCCCATTTTATTCTCACTCATTTACATTGTTTTTTAGGCCCATTCTCCTACTCATTCACATAATTTTTTTCTTCCTGCTCATTTGAATGGTTTTTCCTTCCTTTTTCCAGCATACAGCATGTATGCACACACAACAAATGCCTCGTGGAGAAGACACACTCAAACAAGAATTATAGATTTATGACATTCATATTTACACATAAACAAGTCTTAAGTTAAATACACACCTGATTTATGGACACGTTCTGAACCTGCTAAATCTACCACAACCAACTTGCTCTTTCGAATGACTGGTTTTGAAAGTTTAGTCAAGCGAGAGGCATCATTATTTTCAGTGGAAACAACATCTTCACTATCCACAACAGACCTCTTAACATGTACCTGTGTGAGAATAGCTATTTGGTCAAGACAGGATAATTTTTTATGAAATGAAAAGGCTAATTGGATATCTGGGTTAATGACATGGAAAATAATTAAAAGTAAACAAAACACCTCTTCCGAACAAGCGGTTTTGAAGGTTTAGTCAAGTGAGAGGCATCACCATTTTGACTAGATACAATATCCTCACTTTCCAAGACAGACCTCTTAATATGTACCTGTGTGAGAAACAAAAACAAAAAAAAAATCACCAAGACTTGATAATAAAGTAATTTTAAGAATCAGAAAACAGTGACTAACTGGTTTCCTTGGTTTGTGACATATATATTAAAAACAAAAGGTAAACAAAAGGAAAGGTAATCAAAACAAAGTTTTTTCTTTCACCATCAGAATAGCATGACTGCGGGAAGATTCGGTATTCAATTTTGTGTTAGCAGCTACTCGATTAGCTTCCCCTACTCTTAACAACTCCAAAATACTCTGTTGGTCTGTGATTTCTACAAGAGTTGCCCCGGGCAAAGATACATCACCATTTCTTGGGTCTTCCACTATAGGAATATTATCGTTTGCTGGATTAAGCAAGTCCTGGAGAGTCTCCATGTAAAGCTACACATTTTCGGGAGACAAATGTGAGTAAAATAGCCTAGAATAGTTATAATACAAAAACAATAGGGCACAACCTCAATGGAAACAAGAAGATAAAAGTCAATAAAACAGTAATGCACATGTAAGTATACAACCTGTAGATACGAGACTGTGACAAAATCAGTATCTGGAGATAAGTCGGCAAAAATATCCTCCATGGAACGAACCATGATACCACGATCAGAGGCATCACCATCCCCTAGTCGTCCAAGGGTAAAAGTTTTCCCAGTTCCAGTTTGACCATAAGCCATCACAGTCCCATTGTAACCATCAAGAACACTCTACAAACCAGACATCAAACACGTATTAAGCTATAGAGCATTGAGGAAATGTGATATGACAATGTCTTGATGAATAGAATGTATAATAAAGTAGGTATAATGATAGCTAAGTAAAGGAATGATGATTATCAAATCATAAACAACACCGATATAAAGCAGAGTTAGATAAGAATAGCTCAGTAAAGGATGTTAACGAAAAATTAGGATATGCACCATTATAACAGACCTCCACAACTGGCTTAGCCACAACTTCATAGACGCGTTTCTGTGAAGCAAATTCGGTAAGCACCTCATCGAACTCATAAGTGTCCGAATCCCAATTGTTTCTACGAAGTTTCAGTCTTTTAAGCTGAAGGATATTTAAACACAAATCGATAAACATTAAACAAGGCTTATGCATAAAACAATCAAAGAATATACTACAAAGCAAAGAAAAACCAAAAACCAACACAGTTAGTTATTAATAAAATAAAATGAATGTACCTCTGGTTGTACTTCAACACAGTCAGCAAAATCAGCATCCGCCATCATTTCTTCAGCATTTCGTGGTCTCAATCTTACAGCCACTCGAACTCTTCCAGGCACTGTACACAAAAATGATAATATAACAAGTGTAGCAAATAGCAATACCATCATACCAGCAAGCACAACAGAGAGAGAGCGAGAGAGAGAGAGAGATTTTAATAGCCACATTTTTTCAAGCATTGGCTTTCAATCAAAATATAAAAAATACAAGTACAACTATGTTGCAAGGAATTTAAACTTCTAAACCCAGATATATCTAGAACTTCTAGAATTATAAGTGGCCATAAAGGGGCCCTTAAACCCTATACCATCGACATGCAATAAGTTGTTCTGTAGCCTTTTTACTATTATTAATTCCTACCAGATTGCAATAGGTGGAAAATGATACAGACACAGGAGCACACATGAGCCCAAAATGTTTATTTAGTTGCTAGACAACGAACCTCTGTTTAAAGTAAAGGCTTTAGCCTGATTTATTTTATTTGCCTGGATTTCAAGAGTAATCAAGTGGGTACCAAACCCCAGTTGGTCCATTCCCAAGCACGAATGGAGTGCTCTTTTCTCCCCAACAGACCAACACAAGGGGAGCTTCAGTCAGTCTACCTCAGTCCCATATCATCTATATATGGGACAGGAAAACCCTATGTCACCCAATAACACTCTAGCTTTTAGGAGTGGATTCTCCTCTACAACACTGCTGAGCTGAGCATAAACACAAGATTAAGTGGATATTTGCCTTTGATTACATAATCTACATCTAAAATGCTACTTTAAGACTAGCCTTTTGTGAAATGAAAATACAACCTATGTCATGTGTTGAATATCTCACATCAACTAATGATATGGTCAAAATAGAGTACTTAAGAGCTGGGCAACCCTCACCTCTTGAACTAGCTTTTAGGATTGAGTTAGTCTTAAACTCAAATTTTAATATCATCAGGGACCAGATAATAGAGTTATTTTAACATTCAAACCACGATATCCCTACAATGACTTGCAAGCAACATGTTAGTCCAACTCCAATGCCAGTTGCCTCCGTGGTTCTTAAAGGTAGGAAACGGTTCTTCTCTCCATGCACAATTGGAGCAAATTAAGTTGACAGCCACGTGTAAGAACCATTCTTGTATAAGAACGGTTACTAAAAATTAAACAATATTTTTCCAACATCAACCATTTCCACCAAGTAATTTAAGAACTCAAAAATAGGTTCTACCATTGGAGTAAAATACAGCGGGAGTTGCCATCTTACACGGTAGAGCGAGACCCACCAAAAAAACCTTAAGAACTCAAAATGAGTTTTAGCATTTTAGATGATCATTCATATAGACAATGCAAACCTAAAAGAACAAATATCTCACATCACACTACTCCTCTAAACCCCTTTCCC